CGTATCACATCTCAAAGGCTTCACAGGACTTACCGTATTAGTATAATATAATGTAACCTTAAGACTGTGTGATCTCTCTCTCCCAAGATCTTCTCAACAGATAAATATCTGTGCTGGTCTCTCACTAACCACTAAAGTACAGTGTAGGTTTGATACATTCCTAGAACTGAATGAAGCTGTCAAGTGATAAAGATTGTGTATTTTGTAGGAGATCGTAGCGGCCAATTTGCACACTGCAACATCCCGCAGAAGTGAATATTTATTTGGGGGATTGTCGGCCAGACGACAGCGGGAGAGAGAAACTCCCTTCTCTTTTCCAATAGCGTCGCGGGATCTTTAACATCCTCCGGAACAGGGCACAGACGAGAGCTCAGGTTAACATCTCATCCCAAAAGGTCACCGTCACTGGATCGTTAGTCACCAGAGGCAATAATCCTTGCATTTGATACAGCGCCTTATCACGTCTTCGAGACGTGTCAAAGCGCTTCACAGGATACCCTGTAAAGTGAATTGACTGTATAGTTTGTGAATAAAACGCGGCAGCCAATTGCCACAGTAGCGTCTCACAGTCGTGGATTGAAGTGATCAAATTATTATTTTTTGAGGGATTATTAACCCCAATCGACTAACAACTGGGTTCGTACTTACTGGTGGGTAAACAAAGGCGTGTGGAGTAAGGCCTTGGCTAAGGCTTTGCCCCGCCTGGGAATTGAACCCGGGTCCTGTCGCTTGCGAGGTGATGGCGCTAACCACCTCGCTACGGGACTCCACACACATGCGTTATCGTGGGTAGTCAACCCAGCGACAGCTCTGAGCTGCCAACCAGGCAGCAATGACTGAGGGTAAAGGTGATGAATGTGGGGTGGGGTGTGGCTATGTATCTCCCCACGCAAGGCCCTGTTGAGTTTCCGGATTAACCTCACATGATCGTTGATGCCAATGTTGGTTTAAAGGGTTAAAAGATTGATCTCAATTAGTGATTCCACGTGGACAAAGTTTCACTATCTGTGCTGGGGCTCACTCCCCCACTGGAGCTCTCTACTCCAACCCCATTCCCTGCTCTCTCTCTCTCCCCATCGTGTCTGTGCTGGTTCTCGCTCCCCCACTGGAGCTCTCTACTCCAACCCCATTCCCTGCTCTCTCTCTCTCTCTCGATCGTGTCTGTACTGGGGCTCGCTCCCCCACTGGAGCACTCTACTCTAATCCCCCATTCCCTGCTCTCTCTCTCTCGATCGTGTCTGTACTGGGGCTCGCTCCCCCACTGGAGCTCTCTACTCTAATCCCCCCATTCCCTGCTCTCTCTCTCTCTCTCGATCGTGTCTGTACTGGGGCTCGCTCCCCCACTGTATCAGATGTCTGATTCAACCATTCAGGCAGCCAGTTCCACAATCTTACTGCCCTCTGCCCCCTCTTGACTCCAGCCCATAGCTTGGGTGCAAACCCTCGACTGTCCAGACCTTGGAACGTCCTCCCGATGTGATGCGAAAGGCGTTGTGTAATTGTAATTTGTTGTAGTTGTTTCCTGCTCCTCACTGCAGTCTCTTCTCCAGACTCCTCACAGCAAGTCAGCCTTAACTAAACAATAATCTACGAATGACATTCCACAGATTGACCACCCGGCCCCCACACCCCCCGCCCCCCAAAACCACACACACCAGCTCCAGCCAGTCTCCCCGCATTTTACCCAGTTCTGAATTCTAGGTAATTAGCCACAAAACTTTTCAAAATTAAACACACAAGTTTTGAAGAGAGGCGGAAATTATATTTCTTAAAACCTTCCACGACGAGGCATTTTGTGCATTTTATTTACTTTTGCTGTTGCTTTGCTCCGGCTCTGGCTCGAAACTATGAGTTCAAGTCAGGACTTGGAATCACACAGTCTAAGCTAATGCTCCATTGCAGCGCTGGGAGAGTGTCGCGTCACCCAACCTTAGCTTTTTCCGGGAATAATAGTCGCTCAGCGAAAAATAATAATCATAATTTGGTCACAAACATACAGTCAATTCACTTTACAGTATATTCTGTGAAGCGCTTTGAGATGCCTTGACGACTTGATAAGGCGCTGTATCAAATGCAATTATTATTATTATTATTAAGACCGAGGTCCCGTTTGCCTGTTCAAGTGGACGTTAGAGATCCTGTGGCCATATTTGAAAAGAGGAGAGTTTCTCTCTCTCTCGCCCGATGTCTTGGCCGACAATCCCCAAAATAAAATTGGTCACTTGCTGCGTGGCTGTTTGTGGGACATTGATGTGTGCATTGGCTGCTCTGTTTCGAGCATAAAATACAGTTACTACACTTTACAGTATACTCCTGTGAAACGCTTTGAGACGTCTCGACAACGTGATAAGGCGCCATCAAATGTGAGTATTATTATTATGGGTCGTCTCTTCACTTCACAGGGCACTTGCTGTCAAGTGAAGTGACTGTGTGCTTGTGGCAGAGAGAACTCTAATTCAGGCAAAATCAAGCCCCCCCCCCCCCCCCCAATCATTACGTGGGTGTGCATGTGCGTGAGTGTGTGGAGGGGAAACTGTTGCAATCCTTCTGAGACGTTCTACGTGCTTCAAGTTTGGAGCCCAAGGTGACAGGTTTGGTGGGGTTGTGTCTCGTTAACCCGGAGGTGTCGGTGCCCTGAGCTATGTGTGGACCCTCTCTGACTGACCTGACAGTGCCTGTTCACAGGTGAGTGGGTATCACCAGGCCACCTCCTGCCCGTGGCTCCAGTGGCTGTCATCGCTCACTAACATCTGGCAAATACCTGCAGCTGTCAGTGGATTGTGATAGTGATATCCTCTGTACACAAACCACCACGTCCTGCCCCGTCCCATCCCGCCCGGACCCATCCCGTCTAACTCACTCCCAAGCTTGTGTTATTCTGTATAAGCCCCGGCCCCCTCCTGTCTCTCAAGATTTACCTCCAGCCTGGCACCCACTCCCCAGGGTATATTAACCCCCTGAAACATTATTGTTCATATAATCCACATCGACCCGTCCGCTCCCTCCGCTCAGCGGGCTCCAGCCTGCTCCACATCCCCTGTGGCGATCAAGCCTTCAACCTCTCTGTCCCCACCCTTTGGAACTCCATCCCACAGTCCCTCCGTCTCACTCCCTCCCTCGCCTCCTCCAAGGCCTGTCTCAAGACCCTCCTCTTCGACCGCGCCTTCGGTCACCCTCCTATCCCCACTTTCCCCTTCTCTCCACCCCTCCTGATCCCGACCCCCCCCCAGCTCGGGTCCAAATCCCTGACTGTCCAGCGCCTTGGGACATCCTCCCGACTTTGGAAGGTGCTGTGTAAATGTCTTTTGTTGTTGTTGTTGATCCCCGGAGTAGATTCCAGCCCGTCTCGCTCTCTCTCTCTCTCTCTCTCTGTAACACACAGCGCATTACAGACATGGAACAGACATGTTTGGGATACACGAGGTGTCGTGGTTCTGATTACGTTTCTCGGTTTATTCTTTTCTGTAACTATTAAAAATGGAAGAAAAAACAAACGTTCCTGTTCAGTGCGACCTGCGCTCAGTGGTTTCAGCGTCGCAAATAGCACAGGCCATCGGGGGGAGAGAGAGAGAGAGCGAGAGTGAGAGGGAGAGAGAGAGGAAACCGGTCAGTGTGAATCAATTGCTTTTTGAATACATGAAAATCAGACTTTGTTACATAGGTGTACATTGACATCAGTCTCCGTTGTTAACAAGTTGCGGAGTACAGTATAGTGATCACCCTGGGGTTAATCCATGTAATGGATTAGGGGGGGCAGTGGGTTGTGGAGGTGGGAGGGTTGGGGGGGGGGGGTTGCGTGCTGCTAGCAGTGAAGGGGTTAATCGCAGTTAAACCCCCGAGATTACAAAAGTGTTTTCTTTCTGTGTATCACCAGATTATTTTCCTCTAACCTCCCTCTCCACCGCCCCACCCATCCCTCTCTTCTCTCCCCATCCCTCTCTTCTCTCCCCATCGCTCTCTCTCCTCCTTCCCCTTCTCCCCTCACTCCCCCTCCCTCTCTCCCCTGCTACCCCCTCCCCTGCCCCCTTGTCCCCCTTCCCCCACTGCTGTAACCACAAAGCCCACAAAGCATCATCTCTCTCACAGTTCTCACCAAACCGTTGTGCCAAAGTTATTTACGGTACAGAAGGAGGCCATTCGGCCAATTGTGTCCGCCGGGTCTTTTACGAGCAACCCGTTCACCGCCCTCATACTCTTGGAGTTGACCCTGAGAGGGTGTAGTTCACTAGCCCGAGAGCGGGCAGTTCACTAAACCTCTTGAGCTGATCAACACTCCTTCGGTTCGGGTCGGTCAGACCCGCTTTGGCCACAGGAACATCCGAGGCAAACTGGTGCCCATTGTGGTGTGGCATTCCGCTCTCTCTCTCTCTCTCTCTCTCTCTCTCTCACTCTGTCACACGACTGTCTTCTGGCGGGGTGGTGATGGGGGGTGGCGGGTATGGGTAAGCGGGGTGTCTCCTCGGAGCTGAACTGGCCTGGCTACAGAATGTTGGAGTCGAGCCACAATCTTCTGTGACGGTCTCTAGTCCAGTTCCTGAGCCAGGAGCGTCCACAGTATCCCAGGGCACTCACTGCTGATGACAGCACAGCCCGGCCTGGCTCATCAGCAGGACTTGGAAGGACAGACCAGTCACGGGGGCAGGGAATCCTCCCCTCAGCTCCTGTAAACCCTGCAGCCAAGGTGGTACCCTAACAGGTAGTTGGACAAGCGGTGGGAAAGCTTGCTCTGTCACAGTACATCTCCCTCACGTCAGGTTAACCTTGTGTCACGATTATTTGGAAAGGGAGCGACGAGAGAGAGAAATAAAAGCCTCATCTCATTCACTGCCCTATTGTCCATGCACCTCTGTTCACCTGTCACTCCACCCGGCCATTTCTGATGATTTTCCACCAATCACTACAAGAAGAAAAGTTCACTCAGTAAGATTGGGGGAGGGGGGAGGGGATGGAGAATGAGGGGCGGGGAGGGAGGAGAGGAAACGGCGAGAGGGGAGGGAAGGAGAGGAAATGGGGGATGTGGATGGGGTGGGTAAATAGGAGAGCGCGCAGCACTGCTTGAAGGCCACGAGTATAAAAAGCTTATTAGGAGGCCGGGGCCTCAGTCCATCTTGTCCCCAGATGTTGGGGGTGGGAGTCACTGGAAGACATGGTGGTAGGTGGGACATTGGTAGCTCTTCATCATCTTGACGGCATACCTCAGCTCCTTGTTACGCTTGTCCCACTTGTGGATGACAGTGAGCAGGAGCTGGTTGTCCCACTTGCGCCCCATGATCAGGAAGTTGCTGCTGGGGTTGTCCAGCTGGGTACAGGGGCAACTCGCCCCGTTCTTGATGAACAGAACCAGTTTTTTCAAGTCCTTCTTCTTCAGCGGCCCCGCCTTCAGCACCTTCTTCTTCCTCTGAGACAGGATCTTGCGATCGCCTTTCTCCCGCTTGATCTCCTTGATCTTCATTTTGAGCGCTGCGTAGGGTGGGGGGGGGGGGAGGAGTGGGGAACAAGACACACAAGGAAGTGTGGGTGGAGTGAGACGGCATCAACAACAACAACTTGCACTTAGGTTTGGATTTAGATCGACGAATAAAATATAATTTTTATATTTCTGATAAACAACAATAATTTGGTCACTCAATCCACGACTGTTTGTGGGACACTGCTGTGCGCAATTGGCTGCTGCATTTCGCCTACAAAATATACAGTCAATTCACTTTACAGTATATTCTGTGAAGCGCTTTGAGAATTCTCGAAGACGTGATAAGGCCCTATATCAAAAGGATTATTATTATTATGCAGTATTATAATATAGCGTCACTTGCGCAGAGCAGTGTCTCAGAGCAGATTGATTGCAGGGAATACCAACTCCCTTTAAAAGGTTGAGAAACGTAAGGCTTACTACAAATCAAAGGTCAAAACCTTCTTAAATCAACCCTCACTGATTCATGGAAGCCATCCCCACCATTATTGACTCTCATAATAATAACCTTGCAATTGATACAGCCCCCTATCACATTGTCGAGACGGCTCAAAGCACTTCACGGGTAAAGTGAATTGACTGTATATTTTGTGGGCGATGCCAATTGCACACAGCAGCGACACACAAAACTGTCCTGGATTGAGTGACCGTTTTCTGATGGGATTATTACCCCCAGAAAGTGATCCACCAATTGACCAACAATCAGGTTCCGACTTACTGCTAAGTAAACAGGTGTGTGGAGTAAGGAAACTTGCCCAAAATTCACTCCGCCAGCAGTGAACCTTACTCTTGAAAATAAGAGCAGTGTTTACTGGTGAGTTGGCATACAAGTGGATAAAACCTGCACTTACTTACCAGTTGATGTGTTTTGAAATGTCTGTGTAATTGCCTCAACATTCATTTACATTTCAAACAGATGTTACATTGGTTGGAATCCACCAGCTTCCCTTTACTGGGATCCCACCGGAGCTCTCTAACCCCATTCCCTGCTCTCTCTCTCTCTCTCTCCCCATCGTGTCTGTGCTGGGGCTCACTCCCCCACTAGAGCTCTCTACTCTAATCCCCCCATTTCCTGCTCTCTCTCTCTCCATCGTGACTGTGCTGGGGCTCGCTCCCCCACTGGAGCTCTCTACTCTAATCCCCCATTCCTCGCTCTCTCTCTCTCCCCATCGTGACTGTGCTGGGGCTCGCTCCCGCATTGGAGCTCTCTACTCTAATCCCATTCCTTGCTCTCTCTCTCCCCATCGTGTCTGTGCTGGGGCTCGCTCCCCACTGGAGCTCTCTACTCTAATCCCATTCCTTGCTCTCTCTCTCCCCATCGTATCCTTGTGCTGGCTCACTCCCCCACTGGAGCTCTCTATTCTAACCCCATCCCTTACTCTCTCTCTCCCCCCATCGTGTCTGTGCTGGGGCTCGCTCCTCACTGGAGCTCTCTACTCAACCCATTCTGCTCTCTCTCTCCCCCCATCGTGTCTGTGCTGGGGCTCGCTCCCCCACTGGAGCTCTCTACTCTAACCCCATTCCCTGCTCTTTTCCGTCCCTTCAATTTAATTATTCCTCACAGATTAATATGGTTTTAGTCAACCAGTGGCATTTGCTAACGAGGAGATTTTACAGCTTTGTTAGGATTATCTCAAACTAAATATAAAATGACGAAACAAGCAATCAAATGAGTTGTGACAGTAAAATCCTTACAGTTTGCCTCTCCGTAAGTGAGTCTGTCTCATAACCCTCCGTTGTCTGAAAGGGATTACTTGATGTTCACCGGCTGGCTGCCAGTTTGACGGCTGACGCTGTAGGTGACCCTCTTCTCTCCTCTCCCCCCCCCTCACCTCATGCCATCCCCACCGAAAACCACTCCGGCCCAAATCATCTAATCTGAGCAGCTGAACCATCGAGTGTGTGAGTATCGATCAAATCACAACGGACGGAAATCCCCAGATAATATCGCTCGCTCACTCTTTCTCTTGCTCGCTCGCTTCACACCTGTTTGTGGGGACGAACCCCAGCTAGTTTGTGCGCAAAATTAGCTGCTGCCTTCACCCCCAAAACACACACAGTCACTGCACGTTCCAGCATAATCCTTTTTAACGCTTTTGGTTAAGGCTGTGATCGAAGGTGAGGATTCTTATTATTATGTTTGCATTTTAAATAAGAATAATATTCCTTGCATTCGATGCAGTGTCTTTCACATCAGAGGATGTCCCAAAGCGCTTCGCACGATAAACTGTTAACAGGATATAACAGGATGTGACTATGGGTTGTTGTTGGCCAGACACCGGGCGAGAAGAGAGAGAGAGAGAGAGGAACTCCCTTCTCTTTTGGGATAGCGCCTGCATCCTGGGAATCTTTCCCAGAATAGCGGAGACTTACCAAACTCACTGGCACAGAAGTGCTCCAGGATGACGTCAGCTTTCATCTCGTTGTCACATGGGGGCAGATCTTGGACTCTGCGGGCAAGTCAAACAGAGAGAAAAAAAAAACACTTAGTTCTCATTCTTTCCCCCTCTCCTCACCCCTCCCTGCCATCTCTCTGTGGAACGAGGCATCGATGGACGTGCCTTCAGTCACTACGCCCCGAAACTCTGGAACTCTCTCCCTCCGCCTTGCCTCCTGTCTCTCTCCCCACCTTCAAATCCCACCAAAAGACCTTCCTTTTTGATTGTGCTTAAGGTCCGCTTCCCCCCTCCCTCTCTCCCTCGGCTCGTGGTCAGACTGTGACACTCTGAAGCGCTCCGGGACGCTATCCTGCACGAAGGGCGCTGTATACAATCAAGTTGCTGTTGTTGTTTATATGTCGGGACAAATAGCCGAGTGTTTCACCACGGAACCATAACAAGTCCCGGAGCTCAATGGGCACTGCGCTCGGCTCGCAAGCGAGAGGACCTGGGTACGATTCCTGGGCAGCGCAGATCCTTGGGCAGGTTTCCTCACTCCACACCCCTCTGCAGTGAGTGGGAACTCGGTTGTTAGTGGATTGACGGATCACTTTCCGAGAGTAATAATCCCCCCGAAAAATTGGTCAACTCAATAGTAGGACGCTGCTGTGCACAATTGGCTGCCACGTTTCACCCACAAAGTACACAGTCATGGAGAGGGTAGTTTTCAGGGGGAAATGAGGGAAACAACGGCCACTCGGCCCCAATGCAGGGAATCTGCCCGGCCCGAGCCCAGGGTCCCAACAGCAAAAGCCAAACACACTGTTGGGTTACTCCGGCACAGACTAATACTGACAACCACATCAGTCACCCAGCGCCTCATCACATCTCAAAGCGCTCCCCGGGATTCACTGTAAAGTGCGGTGACTGCGTGCTCTGTTGGCGAACGCGGCAGCCAATTTGCGTCCCACAAAGAAACAGCTGTTGAAGTGAGCGAGGGATTGTATCTGGGGGATGGTCAGCCAGGACACTGGGGGAGAGAGAGAGAGAGGGAGAGACACAGTGACAGTAAAGTGATCTGATGTCCACAACTTTCTGATGTAGAGTGAGCCCCAGCACAGACACGATGGGGAGAGAGAAAGAGAGCAGGGAATGGGGTTAGAGTAGAGAGCTCCAGTGGGGAGAGGTGGGGTTGGGGAGTGAGCACCAGCAAAGACACAAACGGCCCCCTCCTGTGTGGTGAATTCTCTGATGGAGTTCCAGTGTCATTCACCTTGTGAGTCAGTCTCTCCGGTTGGTTTAACAGGGAACTAGAGAACCTGAGGACTCACTTTGTGAAGTGAGCATCAATCAGGGCGGCGTCTCTAATCCAGTATAAAATGTTTCGTTATAAACACAGCGACACACAAGACGGGTTCTTAATCATCCTTTTATACAAAGGTACACAGTTCACTCCACTGAAGTGAAGACAGTGTAAGCAGAGGGCGGATTTATTGGGCGCAGCCTAACAATTTCATTTAACTCTCTGCTTCGAGGCTCCAGCACTGAGAACCAGTCACTGGGGACAGGGAATCCTCCCCCTCAGCTCCTGTGAACCCTGCAGCCAAAGCCCTAACGGGGAGGGTGGTCCTCGCTGGACAAGCAGCGGAAAAGCTGGCCAGACAGTGATACAAATGGCAAACTGTGTGGGTTTAGGGGGTTACACTCCAGCAGTTACCCCAACACACACTCTGGGGTCCCCAAGCCTTGGCTCTTGCCAACCTGCGCCTAATACTTTCTGGAATTAGGTAAACAGGATGCGTTCCTCTGGGGGGAGAGAGAGAGAGAGTGTATTCCATCCCCACAATCTCTCTCTGGGATTTCCATGTGGTGGAGGGATGTGTGGCATTCTCAGTTTGGTTTGGAGACTCTTGAGCAACGGTGATGGGTTTCCGCGCGTGTCAGACACCCGGCGGGGGAGAAACAAATAATTCCAATTCAGGAACACCAGTGAAATTAAACGGGTTAAATTACCACGGAAGAAATGTCGTTTCGTTTGTTCTGTCAATCAACACAGTCACTGCACGTGACGGGGACTACCCTTCGAAGTGCTTCAAGATGTTGTTCTCGGTGAGGCGAGGTGTTATAATAATAATCTTGTTGATACAGCGTCACGAGGACGTCTCAAAGCACTTCACGGGATTTTACTGCAAAGTGTAATGACTGGGCACAAATTGGCTGGTGCGCTCCCCACAAAATACACCCTTGTCCATAAAGGCTCGAAAGCGTTTTGAGGCATTTTGACAACAACAGAAGTGCTGGAAAGTGTGCGTTTCGCTTATAATGTGCGTTCTCGCTTGGCAGCCCAGCTCAGGTGCTTAGACAGAACCTGTTAAACACTTTGGGACATCCTCCCGATGTGAACGGCGCTGTGTAAATGTAAATTTGTGTAGATCGTGTTTTTTTTCCCGCAACTGGGTGTATGAGACATGCCATCACTGTGGAGGTTTGTGTGTGTACATGTTTGTGTATATGCGTGTGGGTACACGTGTGTGTACTGTCTAGTCATGCTTTCCTCTCCCTCTATCCCATCCAACAACAACAGCAAGATTACATTTGTATAGCGCCTTTCATGTCGGGAGGATGTCCCAAGGCGCTGGACAGTGACAGCATTTTCCATCCCGAGTT